GGATACTTTGCTGGTGGACTGAGTAGTGTTGCCTATTGTGTCAAATGTCAGATGCAGAGATATGACAGCATACCACTGATTGCCTTCCTCCTGAGCTGCTTGGGGCCTTCTTGCCACTGGCACCTGATGCTTCATCTGGATGGTGTGGAAATGAGAAAGACATGGCAATAGAAAGAGTGCAAAACCACAGTCTTGACTTCTTGCTGGGGGTCCTGGATGCCTTACAGTTTGAATCCAACCCTAGTGGAATGTGGTTCTATGAGGTAAAGGTTTGGGGCCTATTTGGCTACTCATTGTCAGTCCTCCATAGAGAACATTGTGTTAACACAAGGTGTGATGTGTTCACTGTGTACTGACTATCAACCTTTCTGAGTCAATATACAGATGTACAGATAGAGATACAGATATACCAAACTCATTCATATACAGCCTGTTTCAAGAAGCAGATTTGTTCCTTACTGGCAGGTGACAAAGAACAAATAAATTCTGACTTGTCCTAGGTACAGAAAGCACACACCTGTGTACTCAGCTCTGCGTGCCTCACCAGAAAGTGTCCACTCGGGGTTTTATACACTGGGGCACATGGCATGGTTTTCAAGGATACCTTGTTGAGGCCACTGGTATACAGTCCAGCTTTTTGGGCCAGTTCTTCTCTTCTATCATGATGCTGAAATTCTAATCCATTCATGAACTCTTCTTCAGGACAATAGGCAAGCTGTGGGGGAGAGCATGGTCAGCCCAGGGCTACTCAAAAATCACCTTACCTAAAAAAATTCAAGTAAAAACATCACTCAATGAAGTGGTTCGCAGAATAAATTCAGAAGCTGGACTGCCTGGTTGCAGATCTTGTCTCCACCATTCCATGCTAGGCCTGTGGACAAGTGAGCTAAGATTGTTTTAGAGTGATTTTTATTATTTTTAATTATGTCTCTGTGTGCCTGTGTGGCATATGTACATGTGAGTACAATGCCCACAGTGGCCAGAAGAAGGTGCCAGATTGCTTGGAGCTACAGATATAGGGGATTATGCACCAGCCAACTGGGTTCTGGAATCAGAATTCTGCACTTTGGGCTCTTTCTCTGCAGCCTGTGAGCTAACATTTCTACAGTGTAGTTCTTTTAATTTAAAACTAGAGGTATCAAGAACGCAAACCTCAAAGAGAAGCTATCCAGACTAAATTTGTCAGTAACTGTTTGATGTTATAACCCATGCTTGGCATGCATTATCAATGCTTAGTAAATGATTAGACTAATCAGCCGCCACACCCACTCACTTCTAATCTATTGCAGGAGTACCTTTCTCTGCTTGTGGGAATAAATGCCAACACACATAGGATAGGAGCCAGGCACACTTCCACATTAAGATAACCGGCTTTATTGTTTATTTATGGGATACTCAGATGCCTCTGCTAATATTGTCTGTTAATTTGTTGCCTGACTTAATCTTTTTTTTTACTTTTCTATTTTAATTAGAAAGAAGATTATTTTACATGTTAATCCCAGATCCTTCTCCCTCCCCTCCTCCTCTGTTCCCCCTCCAACTAATACCCTACCTATCCCATACGCTTTCTGCTCCCCAGGGAGGATGAGACCTTCCGTAGGGGGTCTTCAAAGTCTGTCATAGCCATTGGGGATAGGGCCTAGGCCAACCCTCTTGTGTCTAGGCTCAGGGAGTATCCCTCCATGTGGGATGGGCTCCCAGAGTCCATTCCTATGCTAGGGATAAATACTGATCCACTACAAGGGGCCCCATAGATTTCCAAGGTCTCCTCACTGACACTCACATTCACGGGGTCTGGATCAGTCCCATGCTGGTTTCACAGGTATCAGTCTGGGGACCAAGAGCTCTCACTTGTTCAGATCAGCTGTTCCTGTGGGTTTCATCAGCCTGGTATGGACCCCTATGCTCATCCGTCCTCCTTCTCTGCAACTGGATTTCAGTTCAGTTTACGGTTTAGCTGTGGGTGTCTGCTTCTACTTCCACCAGCTGCTGGATGAAGGCTATACCATGGCATATGAATTAGTCATCAATCTCATTATCAGAAGAGGGCATTTAAGGTAACCTTTCCTCTGTTGCTTAGATTGTTAGTTGGTGTCATCTTTGTAGATCTCCAGACATTTCCCTAGTGCCTGATTTCTCTTTAAGCCTATAATATCTCCCTCTATTTTGGTATCTCTTATCTTGTTCTCTTCTATTCTTTCCCCCAACTCAACCTTCCTGCTCCCTCTTGTCCTCCTCACCCCTCTGTTTCTCCCCTTCTCATTCTCCTAGTTCCCCCTCCCCTCCCCCCATGCTCCCAATTTTCTCAGGAGATCTTGTCCCTTCCCCCTTCTCCAGGGGACCATGTATGTCTCTCTTAGGATCCTTGTTTCCTAGCTTCTCTGCTCCTCCTTGTTTCCTAGCTTCTCTGGCAGTGTGGATTGCAGGCTGGTAATCCTTTACTCTATGTCTAAAATCCACATATGAGTGAGTACATACCATGTTTGTCTTTTTGTGACTGGGTTACCTTGGACTTAATCTTGTTGGTAGAGAATTCCTTGAACATAGACAGTACCTAAGAGTGGCTGGTTTAAATGGTTACTTGGTAGCTTAGAATGGTTGAGTCATTTACTCAGTGGGTGTGTATCTGTGTAGCTTGTCTTCTCTGAGTCCAGCTATCACAGAGATCCATCTCTAATTTGGTTCATATCCCGCTGACAACTGTAGTCTGATCTTCATTTATCACTTCCCCTCATCAGTATCCCTGGACAGATTCACTAACTCCCCCAGTATCTGCTCTTTCCTCCTTTCCCTGTTCCCACTCCATGACATACATATTTTCATGTTCACATTGGCAATCTAACTTTGCTCTTGACTTTCATTTTAAGTCAAATAAAACCAATTTGATAAACTTTAAAATCGTTCATTGCAAATAAAGCTTTGGTGTTGTTTTCACAATTCTTCCACTCACTCTCACAAGCAATTCAGCCCGTGGTTTTGCTCATCAAAACCCCCACCCCAACTCACAAGCCTGTGTCTTTTTCAGCAACAGTATTTATTTTCTCTTCTGTTGTTGTTGGGTTCTGATTCAAGGCTCCTCTGCTCAGAGTTGTGATGGATTTACAACCTTCACTACATCTGATTCTTCCATACCCAGAGAGCAAGGAAGTAAATGAGGTGCTGTGACTTACCACCCAATCCCCTCACGGCACCTCCCACCTTTGAGGCATTTTCAGTCTGTTCAACTGGATGGAAATGACATATAGGAAATATTTACAAAATAGTGCAAGCCAGTCAGTAGCTTCCTGAACTGAATCTACTGCCCACAAAATTGGGACTCTCTCAGAACTTTCTCAGTTCGAGGCAACTCTTCATAGGAAAAGCAAACAGTTTTTTTTATGTGTACTTTTTATGTGTATGTTCTTTTTTATGTGTATTTTTAAAAATTAGTACATATTCATGGTACTGAATATGTACTACTACTAATAATAATAATAATAAGTTTTTTATGTGTATTTTTTATGTGTATGTTCTTTTTTATGTGTATTTTTAAAAATTAGTACATATTCATGGTACTGAAAAACACATTTTATTATGAGGCATGCATGCATGCTTCTCATATGCTAGGATTACATTTGCCTGCCCCCCATCTGTTAGACAATTTTTTCTCTTTCTAAATACCACCTCCTTGCTTTTATATCTTAATATTTTTAATGCGGCTCACATGGTTCACACTGGGTAGACTGATGACAACTTTGCTCCCCTGGTGGTATGCCCGGTACCTTCTACCACAATGAAAACTAGCCAGTAAGGATGAAGCTTGCAGGTTGATATCGACTTGATTTATCCATATCCCATGACAAAGTATGTGGTGTCTTCATGGATAGGTTTTCCTACCAAATTCTGGAGGGAAAATAAGCAATGGCAACAGTCTTTAATATTTGGATGGTTTACTGGGCCCTTTCTACTTGTGAATATGTATATATTTTCAGTTGTTTCTGCAGTAGTAGGTCCCCATATGGCATTTTCAAAGGACTTTAATATAAGTTTTCCTTTCCTATACTCCCTTCTCTACCCTACCCTGCCCAGCCCTCCCACCTCACCAACCCCTTCATGTTCCACTATTCCCTATTCACCTTTCTTAGGATCTGCATTCTAATCCCCTTTCCTTGAAACCCCATTTTCACCACTCTTCTGTTGATGGACACATGGGTCAGCTCTACAATTCATCCATAGTAAATACTGCTTCAGTAGACCTGGACACGTGTCTTTAGTATATGATTTTCAGGGACTCCTGTCTCCATTGTTAAATCTACACAAAGACCAGGAACATGTGGTTTCCTCTGTCTCTTGTGTTGTGGTGCTGAGAATCTGCAGGCAGAAGGCAGTGACCACCATTGAAGGACAGATAGTGACTGTACCCAGAGGGGACCCAGCTCAGACCCTGATCTACACACCTGGAAGCTCTTCCCCCTTGGAGCTCTGAACCTCTGGGTAACCCAGTTAGGAAACTGCTTTCTCAAGCCAGAACTGCAGTCAGGGTCCAATTTTTCTTCTTATTCGAAGAACCATTTTTCTTCTGTCTTTGCCAGCTCCAGCCCTCCGGGGAGTCCCAGCACTAGATTGGTTATGCTAAACACTGCGCCTTAGGGGGTTCCATTCTGATGTTTTTCACAGTGACCCAGTCATTTATATTGTTAAGATAGACTCTTCTTGAAACTTCACCAAGCCATTTAATTCTGTTTTAAATCATACCTCTGGATAATTTGTGTCCGTGATATTTCCACTGCTCTCTTGAATTCCCTGGGAGTGCTTTGCAATGCAAGAATCTCAAGTGCATGCCCTCTGTCTCTGTCTTTTTCTTTACTCACCCCAAAGGCTAATGATGTAGAACTAAACATTCATATTATAAAATGTTGGTCTTGATTGCCTATACTCCTTAGAATCATAAGCCTGATAAGAATGTGATTTTAGAAAAGTCCAAAGAATGTGACATAGGCATTTATGTTTTTGTCCTTCAGTTTCTAGACCTGTGGAAAGTACATTATGTTTGGGACCTGCCCCCTCAGCCTCCCAGCTCTGCAATGTGCCTTGCTCGATGGCCTGTATAGTATCTTCCTGGTCATCCTGGGGTCCGTGTGTTCATGACAACTGCCATGATCCTCAGGGGAAGAAAGGTGAGTGCGTACTTCATTCACTTCCAGTGTACACATCTACTCTGCAGCAGACTAAGCCAGCTTAAGACAGCATTTGTTTGTATTTAGATAACTGGCTCAGGCTTGGCAGCATTTACTTATTAGGGAGGCAGCTAAGGACATTTCTGCAGAGCACAGAATCTGACCTTGATTGACTTTCTTATTAAACTCATAGCTAAATAAGTGACCGTTACTCAATTGGAAGTAATGTTGGTCCTACTGACACAGCCTAGTTGGTAGATGCTAGTCTGGCATGCACAAAGCCCTGGATCCAATTTGCTGTACCACATCAAGCCAGGCTATCTGGTATATTCTTTTAATTGGGGTAGTAAAGACAGGAGGATTAGAATGTCAAGGTCATTCTTGGCTACAAGTGAATTTGAGGTTAGCTTGGGCTACATGAGATGCTGTCTCAAATAAAAATAAAAAAATCTAGCTTGCTTTTTCATATAAGTGATGGTTACACTGGAGTACTTAGATACAATTCATGTAATCACACCAGAAACCAACTATTTTGTTATTGCTTTATTTTCAGATTTCTAGCATTTGGTTTATATTTTAATAAAGGACACTTATTATATAAATGTGTGTGTGTGTATACTGGTTAGTGTTTATTGTCCTCAGGCTTATAGTAACATCTTCATTTTTTTTTATTTAGCTAGGCTTTACAATCCTGCTTCCCCCATTTTTGTATTTAAAATGTCCATCCCTGCCCCCAAAAATCCAGAGGCATCTTGCCATCTTTCACTGACCTTTTAGTTTCCATGAGGGTCTTTCTCCTTGCCTGTTGTGCTAAAAAGAAATATTCTCTCTATTAATATGAAGAAAAATAAGCTCTGATGGCTTCCCAGGTAGTAGGTTGTGTTTGCTCAGCTATAATCTTACTTTCCATGCAGAGAAACAACACATGCCTAACTGTGGTGTGCAGTGATCCTTGTACCTCCTGTCTATGCAAGACAATGCCACATATCCACTAGACTCTCCCATGATTGTCATCTGTGGCTTGCTCCAGGCACACATATACCCATGTTCATGACACAGGCTTATGGGAATTAATTTTGCTCTGACTCTTACTATAAGGGAAGAAGAAAGATGGTATTGAATCTGGGACAGAAGGATGCTAACTTTGATTTTTTTCCCCATCAACTTATAGAAATAAGTGTCTCAACAGGTCCTGGCAGGCTGAGCTATTCCCCTGTATGAAACAATATTCTCACAAGTTCAAGTGTTCAGACACTGTTGTCACAGCTGGGTGTACTGTTTCAGGATTCTGTAGAACCTTGAAGGTGAGAGGAATAGCTAGGACAGATGAGTAACTGGGGACACATATTTGAGGACTTAGATGTGCCACACTTTCCATTCTACTTCCTATGTCCTGGTCTTCCAAGATATGAACTAGGCAGATCTCCAGGTTCAGCTACCATGGATACAGAGCCTTTTCAGCCAGCACAATTTCCCTGATGCGCAACTGTTTTCCTCTGAAACTGCGAGCAGAGTAAACTCTTCCTCCCTTTGGCAAGTTGCTTCTGTCAGATATTGGCTCATAACAACTTAAAACAAAATAGTGCATCATGTAACCTCAATATCCTCTATGTGGCTTCAGTTTATGGACACAGAAAAGTTACATCTTGTACTCCATATCTAATTAGAACTCGTCATTTTCTTACAACTGTTCATGAGACTCCTTAGGGTGACTTGCATGCACTTGAAACCTAGAATCAGTCCTCCTGTATTTCATCTGTTTCTTGCCAGATTTTAAGGCTACTCCCCAGAAAAACAACCACATCAAGCTTTGCCAAAACTGCAGCTGCTCTGGTCAGGGACTCGCATGCAGATAAAATTTGGCTGCATGAAGCGCCATTCTCCTTTGCTTTCAAAGATGTAGAGTTCTCAACACACATTAATAGATGTAGGTGACATGACCCCATTTCATGTTTGTTTCTGACCAAAACAGAGACTTATTAACTCATATGGAATGGCCTCCAGGATGACATTCAACAGTACAAACAATGTCAGGGGTTCCCAACTTCTCCTTTCAATCCTTCTACTTTTCAACTCTCCAAGTTGCTGTCTTCTCGTTCCATTATTCTCCACAGTGTGTTAAGTTTGAGAAGCCATCTCCATAGATCAAAGCTCAGGGAGGGATTTTATTTAAGATGATAAATGATGTAGTAGAGAAGGTCTTGTTCAGTAAGTAGTTCCAGGAAGAGCTCTAGGGAGGACCATCATGTCTGCTCATGTTGTATGCTCATTTCTGAACACTCTGATGGGGCTTAAGTGGTTAGGGTCTAAGCTTATGTTCCCAGAATGCAGAGTGGTTTGGCTGCTCTCAACTTTCACAGGCTGGAGAGGAAGATCAATAAGGGGAATGATGGACTCCTTCAGGATACTTTGATATGGCAAAAGTGATTCTGGGGCCACACTTTGCTGATGACTACTCAATAGATATTACATTTCTTGTTCTTGTCCATTGGCTTCTTTATGGCAATTTGGTGCATTTTCCCCAATTTCTGTGTTGAGTCAAAATTTTCATAAGACATTGTGAAGAGCTAGCATTTTAAATTTTATCCCAGTCTTCCTTCTCCACATAACTCAGACACAAGTCACTGGAGAAATCTACAACTCTTTCTCCTTTGTGGACTCTTTCAACATACCTTTGTGTAGAACTTTCTTCTCACTGGCCCTTATTCTGTTCTCCATGCAAATGTTCACACACAAGCACCAACACATTTACAGAAACATCCACAAAGACAACCACAATAGCTCAGCCAACACTGACCCCGTGTTCCTTTCTGCCCAGTACAATGTCTTTCCAAACACACTGATCCATTAGTCAATTTTTTTCATAAGCCCAAAGACACTTGGACCAAGGTACAAATCCAGCCCTGAGAAGAGAAGTCATCTTCCAGCTGTGCCCTGAAGTAGTCAGGTGAACCATGACCCCTGAGAATGAACCTTTGGGCTGCTATAGATCACCAGGCCTAGTGAAACTGTAGTATCAGCTGATGAAAAAGGGCCCTACAGTCATAGGCATGGGTAGACATGGAGGTAAACAGGTAACTGCTGAGTGTGCACTTTGCCCCATTCAACGGTTTCCTTCAGAGGCTTAATCTTGGGTTATAAAAGACTGGGTAGAGGCAGTGGGAGTTACAACCTGAGGGTGAAGTCCTGGAGCCTTTGGAGACAGGTTGGAGTTGCTGTTAGTACCTTTGTTTTTTATAGAGCTCAGACCAAACCAGGTGACTTGAGAGCTCTATTGGAAGATGGCTTCTCTTCCCAAGTGCTAAGTAACCACAGGCAGAGAAAATGAACCACTTTTGTAATTGTGATTCAGGGCTGGCAGTTTGCTATTTTAAAATAATTCCCTTAAGCAGAGAGAAATCAGTCCTCTAGGTCTTGCTGGAACCTGGCAGGACCACCTGCTTCTAATTTCTCTTGGGAAAAATATGGAATAGAGCTCCCCCTCTGGGGAAATGATTCTGTGCCTACAGGCAGACCAAGTGTGTGATGGTGATGGGAGCAATCATCTTGTTATTTCTACCAACTGGGGAGGATGAAGTCTGTGTTCTTCTCATTCTCTATTTCTGTCCCATGATCCGGTAAGGACTGGGCCAGAGTCCTGATTGGCACAAAGTAAATATGATTTAGAATTCCTCAGAGACTGGACACACAGCACGTATACTAAGTTTTGAAAAATCCCTGGGACAGAAGTAAGGTCTGCACATTCCTATCTGAATTCCCTACACAAGAAATTCAATCAACTCACTGGCAGAAATCCAAAATATAGAAAAATTGCTGGGTACTTTATAGCCTCATACAACATTAAATACACAGGTACATATTTATAGAGATAGTCTCTAACACAGTTACACACATGTGTATATATATTAGAGAAACAAAAGTAGAAGAAATAGGGAAAATGGAGCAAACAAGGAGGAAACAGATGTGGGAAGACGGAGACCTTTTCCCAACACACACACACACACACACACACACACACACACACACACACACACACACCCTTCTTATCACCAGGGTTCTTCTTATTTTATTCTGTTCTCTTTATTGACATCAAAAAATAGAAAGGAATGGGGGAAGTAGATGGTAGAAGATGTTTTATTAGCTAATAGAATAAATTGTTAGAGAAATTATCTTTCTATGGCTGTTGTTCTCCATCAGGCACCCCTCAATCAGGCGTCATCTAAGGCTCATGGCTGTCAGCTACTCAGAATGCATTAGAAAATCAGTCAACATTCACAGGCTCTGCACCTTCCTTCACAGCAGTGACAGGCAGACAAGGGGAGCAGAGCTTGGCAGGTTGGTGCTTGTCAAGTGAGGTTGGGACACCTTCCAGAGGAATTTAAATAGGATCAGGTTGTATCGTTTATTGCTTTATCTGGGAGATACTGCCACAGTGTTATAATTAGAGAAATACAAAAGAGAACCAGCCTGAAGAAAATGCTCCTGGATAAGCCCCACACATAGATATGATGCGGTTTTAAAAATTCCTCTCCATACATAGATTTACCTGACAGCCTGGTTCCTTGCAGGCAAGTTCTAGGAAGGCAACCTGCTGAAGAGGAGTTTCATGGAGACCTCTATAGGTGGCATCCTAATAGCTACCAGCCTCCATAAATGACTTCAAGGATTCCTCCCCTCCTCCAATACAGTTCCCCAAACACAGTACAGAAGATTCTCTAAAGTCCCTACAGGAAAAGATATTTTAAAATTGAGACTCTAGGTCTATTCCTAAAGACATCTTTTCCGTTCCGAAAAATTAACATAGACAGCGAACTGAGGTCAGAAATCACTGACATACCTGAAATCTAATTTTACAGTGGAAATATTTCCCTTTTCCATTGTTGCTTGCTGGGTTGGCTCTAATGTTACATTCACACGAATTCTATAAAAATCATTTGGCTTTATTACAAATAATATTCATGTTGGCAGATATTTTTTCTTTTTCTATTTTTGTGTGTCTC